ATATATATCTCAGATACATATACACACCTTGGTTCATGAACTTGATTCTTTGCACGATTCTGCTCACAAACTGAGTTGGATGAGAACGAAGTCAAATTCACTGTTAGGTCATTTCCCTGCCTAACAGGGAAATTAGATTTGGAGCTGGTCCAGATTGGCTTGTGATCAGAAATATGGAGAGAACTGAGTCCAGGCACCACTGTTTTTCTAACAGAAATAAAATTCTGACAGTCACCCTTAACTACTGGTCATCTAGGAACAAGGACAGGAAAGTGGACAGCAGATAAAGCTAGAGCTTGATTTAGTATTAGCTGAATTTTTTAAGAATCTAAACATCAACTTTGAGTTTCATAGTAACACTATGAGTCATTTTTATTTAAACTAAAGAATAAAGGATATTTTAATTGAAAAAATTAAGCAATCAACAAAATTGTTTTACTTTATTGCATTCAATATGAACGCAGGAGGAAATTTCAAAATGAGAACACAATTTGTCACAGGTCAACCATTTGTAACAAGTATGAAAAGAAAATTATAGCAGAGCAGGATAGACACAGCAGAATTTTAAAGGCAAGCCAAACAACTATGTGTTTTATCTGTCTATTTCTACAGAAGACAGGACTACTCATTTGAGTAGCTACACTAGTAAAATGATAGCTAGTGTAAATTTAAATGTTTTGTGATGAAATGCAAATAGAAGCTGTATCCATAGTCATATATATATTATCCCTATGAAGTTGGGTACCTGTTAGTGAAGAAGAAGCAGTCCAAGAACAGACTCTGAAATTAGAAATGTCTTTGTCAGAGACCAAAAGAAACAGGAATCTTATCCAGGTAAGACCCCCACTTTCTTCCCTCTCCCAGGTGGGGCAGATAATGTTCCACCTAAACCTGGAAATAGTAAACTAAGCAACATGGTGGAGGAATAGGCTGCAAATAAAGTTGTATGAATTCTCACTGATGAGGCCACATGGATTATCCCTTGCATCTGTAAGGCAGAATGCCTTATGAGACCTCACTTTTTTTTCTTTTTCTTTCTTTCTTTCTTTCTTTCTTTTTTTTTTTTTTTTTTTTTTTTTGTGGTAACAAGGATCGAACTCAGGGCTCTTGCCAAGCAAGTGCTTATTCTACTGAGCCATGGCCCTGGCCCTAGATCTCTCTTGGTTTATCAAATATAAGATAACTTCTTTTTGTGAACCTTCCAAGTCTTGTAAATCTATCACTTAAGATAAAAATAGTACAGAGCTCTGCACTTATTTGCATGTCTGCTGTCCCCACTAGTCACCAAGCTGCAAAAGAGAGCAGGAATTGCTTCTCTTCATTCATGTTTGGATACCCAAAATCTAGCACAGAACCTGGTTAACAAAAAAATAGTTAAGAATAGAATGGATAGGGTCTGGGGAGATAAGTTCTTGCCTGGCAAGCACAGAGTCCTGAGTTCAATCCCCAGTATGGAAAAAAAAAGGAATAGATGAAATAACAAGCTAACAAACTGAGTACACCTGATACCACTTGTACCACTGACTTGGTGTAAGAGGATCTAAACCTTCTCACACAACTGTTACAAAGCCTAACCTGAAAAATCTTAACAGGATAATTACTCCGCTCGAGCCACTTACCCCCAACATCTGCCCTGGTGCAGGTTTCTTTTATCTATACCCAGACTAAGAAGCTCTTAGTGCTCAGTGAAGAAGTATGGTTCTTTCAGGCAAAGGACATATGAAGTACAATAGTTGTAAAGAAACATCGGTAAGCGTTCAGCTTCTGAAGACAAGAGGGATAATCTTTCACCAAATGCTCTTTCCTATCAAAGACATTCCTCTAAAGGAAAAGCTAGAATAGCTCAATGGACTAAAGTGCCTGCTTAGGCAGAGCACGGTGGCCAGGGTTCAATCACCATTGTGCCCTTTTGGCCCTCCCCTGGGGGCACATTGAGACAGCGATTGAGACTGGTCGTGGTGACATGCACATTTAATCCCAGCACTTGGGAGGCTGAAAACAGGAGGATCTCTATGAGTCCAATCTATGTAGTGAGACCCTATAGACCCTGCAGACCCTGCCATAAATAAATAAATAAATAAATAAATAAATAAACAAACAAATAAAATAAAAGCTAGAAATGAGGCATGAGGTGATAATCATGCATTTATTTAACTCAATAAATATTTATTAATCAACTAACAAGTGCCAAAGACTATTTTGATCTGAGGTTAAAAATTAGAAGGTTTAATTAAAAACTGTGGTGTGTGTTTATATTTTCTAAAATTTATTACATTAAAAGATACACTGCAATTTATCACCCTCAAAAAACTCCCCCTCATTTCACCCACACACATCTCATCATCTTTGCCACTTTCTGGAGCAGTTGTGGAAGTTCTCTTTTGTAAGTGCATTTAAAAAACCATAAGAGGGCCAGGGAGATGGCTCAGGAGTCTAAGCACCTGCCTGGCAAGTACAAGGATCAGGGTTCGATCCCCAGTACCGCATGCCACACTGACCCCACAATCCATACCATGCCGGCCACTGAAACCATGTGTGGTGGTGCACGCCTGTAATCCCAGGGCTGGGGAAGCTGAGACGGGAGGATCACTACAAGTCTGAGCTGCATAGAAGAGCCACTATACCAAATAAATACATAAATTAAAAGAATAATTTTAAAATAAATAAAACAAAAACCTTAAGAAAATTAGGTGAACGCTGCTGTCGAGTCCCACCCCATGGAGAGAAAGGTTTGTAAAGGCATGCCCCAGCCCCCTTATTAACCAGATCTGGTGCCGTGCCACTTCTGGCTCTTCCCAAAGGTGAAAAATATGGCCATGAATGGTAAGTACTGTGAATCAATTCAGGACAGCAAAAATCCCACAACATTACAACTAAAGACTCTCACGGGAGGGGACTTCAGAACCAATGCAGAAATATGGCGAGAAAGGTGGAACAAGTGGCTGAGGCAAGGGGGAGTGCTTTGAGGGGGATAACTGGCTGTATACCTTTTAATACAGTACCAGTTTTACATTCAAACATTTACTGGATTTTTCAATCATATCTCATGGATACACGAAGTGTTATATGGAACGACCGTGTCTTAAATATCAAGTTCCAAAGTAGGAGGTTGAATAGGTAAAACTCTTGAAGACATGGGTGCAGGCAAAGACTTCATGAAGTCTCATCCTACTAAGAGCTGTTTTTCACAGCAAGAGAAACCATGAACAGAGTAAAGAGACAACTGACAATGTGGGGAAAAATGTTTGCCAGCTGTTCCTCAGACAAACAATTACTATTGAGAATTAAAAAATCAGACTTCCCAAATTTATTTACTTATTTATTTTTTGAGATAAGGTCTCATGATGTAGTTCAGACCAGCCTCAAACTCAGTATGTAGCCTGGGATGGTCTCGAACTCATAGTGCTCCTCATTTTCTCAGCCCCTGGGTACTGGGATTACAGGTGTGTGCCACCATGGCCAGCCAGACCTCCCAGATTCAAAGACTGGATCAAAAACTGGGCATCTGAGATGAATACACACTTCTCAGATGAAGAAATACAAAAACAAAGAAATATATGAAAAAACATTCCATATCACTGGTCATTTGAAAGACACAAATTCAAACACCATCAAGATTCCATCTCACCCCAGAGAGACTGGCTATCATCAAGAAATCTTTTAACAAATGCTGGAGGGGTATGGGGAAAAAGGAACACTTCTCCACTGCTTCCATGAGTGTAAACTGGTGCAGTCACTATGGAAATCGGTGTGGATCCCTAAAAAAACTACGATTAGAGGTCCCACTCAACACAGCTATTCCCCTTCTGGATATTTTTCCAGAGAAATGAAAATATACCACAGTAATATATGTGCACCCACGTTTATAGCAGCACAGTCTGTCATAGCTAGATCTTGGAAACAACCCAAATGCTCATCAACTGAGGACTGAATAAAAAGATGTGGTCTTTTTACACAATGGAGTATTACTCAGCTATAAAGAATGACAAACTTAAAGTGGATGCCACTTGAAGATATACTCATAAGTGAAATAAACCAGACCCACATGTGTAAATATCATATTGTCTCCCTAGTATAAGAACTCAAAAGAAAAAATACAATAGAAAGGTATAACACAATTAAAAGGAAAGCGAGAACTTGAGGATTGGACAATGAGGAGAGGGCAAGGAGAAAAGCTGGGAAACAGGACAGGGACAAAGACATACATTTATACGCACAAGATGGGCAAGGCAATGATCCTGAAAAAATCAACAGGTTTTTGAAACTAGCAGTTAATTGGTAGGATTCTCACCCTGACTAACTATACATGCTGCTACCTGTGAACCAAGCAACTGCACTGAAGATAGCAATGTGTAATAGAAGGGTCACGCTTGGAATATCTGTGATTCTGGTCTTCTAAATACATACTTCTTGTCATGACATACCAATTCTTACCATACTGTCTCACAAGTAAACGTGTTTTTTTTTAATGGGTAATAAATGAAAAA